CCTGCAAACCTAAAGGTTGCTGGTTCGATTCCCGGTCAGGGCACATGCCTGAGTTGTGGGGCCTAGTCCCCAGTTGGGGGCATGTGAAAGGCAACCTTTCTCCCTCCCTTTGCCTTTCTCTAAAAAAATAAATAAATATCTTTAAAAAAAGATTCTGTAAAAAAAAATTGTGTAAATTTTCTCTCCTTTTTGTACCTACTATGTGTCTTTATTTTTTGGCTTTTACTTCATTCTTCATCAAAGTTACTTTGCACAATAGTGTTTGTAAATCTCGTATATCTTAACTTTGACAGAAGGCTGCCGACTAACCCATGTTGATTTGTGGTCTTATAACTAACTGTCTTCTCTGCCTTCTCTGAAGGAAATCTTCAGGGATTTTCCTTTTTTCCAGTGCCCACTGTGCTCTGTAGGGTTTGACAAGCATATTCCTGTTAGAGATGGATATGCCTCTTAAGAAGACTCCCTACTCTCTTTATTAAAGGGCTGCTTACCTAGGATCTGGATTCCAGGACAGGCCAGAAAGCCAGTGCTATTGAGGTGTCAGTGGGCCTTCGGCTTCATTTGCTGAACCCCAACTTCAAGTATGAGGTTATGTGTTAGTGAGCCTCCATCCTATGGAGGAAACTTTGGAGAGGCACTTTTTTTCTCCATTGTTAGTCAACAAAAGGTACCTTTAGACCCCGGATGTTATCATCTGCTCCTTTGGTCAAACCTCTGCAACATTACGTGATGTTTGGTGAGATGATACATATTTCTATAAAGGGTTGAATGAGATCTTAAAAGTGGTTTCCAGAGGAGGCCCATACTGAAAAGCTAGTGGTTGAGGGGACAGGATTAGAAGGCAAAAAGGATTCCTGCCCCCACAGAAACACTCCACAGTCCTTCACCAAAAAGTTTCACAAAACTGCTAGAGTCTAATATAGTTGCGATTAAGCCTGTCCACAAAAGCATTACCTCATCTTAAGGTTTGGTATTCTAACCAAAGTTGACAGACTTTGTGCAACCATCTTAATGGATGTTTGAGGAGTTTGCTATTCTTTCTTTACAGAATGCTGTAGACATCCTTTGGGAGATTTTGCAGTCCAGTATTCATGCTGTGGTTGTTCATTCTCTGTAAAGGTTGTACATAGTTGCTGTAGCTCAGCCTGTGATATTGGGCTAGCTGCCTCTTTCTGGTTTTGTTTTTAATCAGCCCAATCTTTCTATGTGAATACCCCATCTTAAACATCCTTCTCCTGCTTTAGAAACTGACAGGAAAAGCTTGGTCATTCAAGCCACCAATACATTTAGATGAATGCCCCTAAGTGTTTACTGTTTTTATCCAGTTAAGGATTCCTAGGACATTTGGTTAATTCTGAGACTAAAATGCTAAAAAATGGTTCTGTTCAAAGGCAAGAGTCAAATCTGTTTTTTCAGTTTCACTTAGCACATTAGTCAGTTCTCCAGGTTTCTCTAAATTAGCTTGATAGAGTGAGACAAGCAAATGTCTACTGTTACTGGACAGGGGTCTGACCCTGAGCGGGTCTGCCTAGAGCCAGCTGTAGTGTGTGGGTTCTTGACTTCGTGTAGGAAAGATTTCACAACACGAATACAGATGATTATGCAAGTACGTTTATTAAAGTTGAGGACAGTGAAACAAGGAAGGGCTTAGCATAGAAGTAGCAACAGGAGAGCCTAGGCTGGACTGCCTTAGATCCCTAGGCAGTCAGAGAAAAGGGGATTTTGGGGACAGGCTCAGGGGATTAACCTGGGATAACTTCCCAGATGCCCATTGCCTTAAGAGTTTAGGAGACGTGTGCCTGTGAAGAAAGAAGTGGAGGAAGAAGAAGGGAATAGTGTGGGCTGTTCCACAGAGGGAGAGCATGCCTGCAAACTGAGCTGGCTTCTTTGTTTTGAGGCTTTTCTCTCTTTCTTGCAAGCCGGAACCTTAGGGTGGGTTTCAGGGGAGGATTTCAGTAGGATATTCTTTAGTTCTTCACGTGTGCCCTTTCAGGGTTATGGTCTCCATTGATTGGTCAGTGGCAGAACAGGGGGTCTTTAGTCATTGTAGTTGGTTTTGGCATCACCCACCTGGTTTTGCAGCTTTTCTGGGCCTGCAGCTGAAACACAACTGAGGCTTTGATGTTATCTCTAGGGAGGAAAGGCCAGGTAAGATTCTTGTTTTCCTAGTTTTGCTCCCCTGCCAGGCACTTGGGGACTTCTGCCCTGGTCACAATCTGCACCTGGCTGTAAATTGCTTGGCCGTTTTGTTCAGTTATCTGTCTGTTTCCCTATTCCACTTGCCAAGGAATTTTCCTAACTACATACTATCCTGTCTCACCCTTGGAACCACAGCATAGTTAAAATTAAATGTAGCTGGAATAACTAGCATTGCAGTTGTCTAGTTCCCCATAGATAACCCAAGGAGTGAAGGGACATGTTTTGCTTAGGCAAAAAACTAAGACTTGTGTTCCTGTTTTCATGGGGTTTAAGTCTGAATGTGTAAGGGGAGCATTGCTTTTGCCAAATCAAATGAATGACGGGTTAACTATAATATGTGACAATCACATTTCCTCTTTGCTCAAATAATTGTTTTTCCAAAGCTTTAACAGCTTAATTAAATCTGTTGGACTGGAGGAGGAGAGGACCATTCTCTCGCAGTTAACATGATATTCTTTAAGGAGATAAAAAGCTCCCCCCCCCGCCCAAAAAAACCCCACTTTATCAGGCCTGCTCATATTAAAGTCAGTAGTGGGTAAAATCTGGAGTTTTAATCTGTTTTTTAAAAGGCATCTCTCATATTTGGCATTGGCCTTTAAGTCCAGTATTTCATATGGAATTCTTGCTGTATTTTATGTTATGTGCATTTAACTGCCTTCCTAGCTTTCTTCATCCATGATCATATTCTTACCCCAGGGGTACTGATAAAGCAGAATAAAAATGGGCTGTATATATGGTTTACTTATAAGTAAAGAGCCTTAAATAATCTCTAGTGTCCTATCCAATGCAGGCCCTGCTTTACTTGAGTTATTGTGAGGATCAATTATGAAATGTTTTTGTCTCCTCTTTATCATGTCCCCCCACCCTTGTAGCAGTTGTGTTTAATGTTAAAAGAAATAAAAGTTCTTATCAGTGACAAAAAAAAAATGACAACAGCCAACACAACAGTAGCTGTCTGGTGTAAATGAATCAAAATTACATCTATTTTTTTGTCAGATTGGCAAAAAATACTTTTTTGGTGTGCCACAGAATTTTAGTAATTAGTTTATGTGTGCCATGAGAGGAAAAGGGTTGAAATTCACACTTGTTAAACTCTCTCCTTGCATATGTTAAATCACATACAGACACAAAAATTTGCTTGAACTGTATTAAGCTTAAACTGAATTACTGTCAACTCTGTAGTTTGTTTTTTTTAAATCCATTTTAAGGACATTTGTGAGTTTTATTTTTTCTGCATACAAACTGTTTGTTTAGATCAAATGATGAGAGCCACATATTCTAATGTTTTCCTTTTGGCTTTGGCTGTCAGGAATTTCAGAGCTACATATAGGCCTAGTTCCCTAATTCTTCCATACATCTCTCTCTCCTTTTAATCTGGCCTCTAATCTTTCTCTTCCATGTTTGTATTTTCTACATCTGCACTGCCCAGGATGGTAGCCTCTAGTCACATGTGGCTATGGAATACTTGGCAGGTAGTTTGCCAAATTGGGATGTACTATAAGTGTAAAATATTTCAATTGTTAATATTGATAATATGTTGGATGATATTTTGCATACATTGGGTTAAATAAAATGTGATTAAATTTAACTTCCCCTGTTGCTTTTGACCTTTCTTTTTATGGCAACTAGAAAATTTTAAATTACATATGTGAAAAAATTATGTATGTGGCTTGCATTTGTGACATTATATTTCTTCATTATATTCCTGTTGAACGGTTCTTTCCTACAAATCATCCTGTTTTGAGAGTGATATGGTAAACTACCTCAAATCCCTTTGTAAAGCAGACGAAATAGTAAATGAAAAGGAGGTAATGGTAATGGATAAACTAAGAGAAGGGCAGTTGACTAGAGATATATTTGTCCTTGTCAGTCCATTAGTCTTGTGCCACATATAAAACCCTCTGTAAAAGAGTGTTTTCAGCTGTTCTGCCCGAGTAGTGGTCTCATGGCTCTGTCCAGCCTCTTGAAAAGTTCTCAGCTGTACTTGAGCCAACAAATTGGCAAGGCAATTCAGGGGCACATTGTAAACATTGTAAATGGCTGCTAACATTGTGTTCAACGCTCTCAAGGGGTATTTCCATTTTAATAGGGAAAAATCCCTGAACTCAAAGGAATAAATCCCTAACAATGGAGTTTCAGGCATCAGTGACAGGTGAGAGTGAGGTAGATTCTGGTTTTATGTTGTCCGTTCACATACATATGACTGCATTAGGGATGTGGCTGAAAGTTGGGTCTTTAGATGAAAAGGTAATGGGGGTGATGGACAAGCTGAGCAGAGAAAGTAGCAAATCCCCACCTGGGTCAGACTGCAAAAGGCTATCAGACACCAGATCCAGTGTATACTCTCAGGGGTTTGTTAAGCAATAGAATAGTCCAGTTGATGTCACCAGAGGGTAGATACCAAGACAGTCTCCATGGTAACTACTGTGGAGTAGCAGAAAGGGCCTCAGAATAGGATTCAGGAGACTATGATTGCAGTCAACAACTGACATACACTGGCTTAACTCTGTGCAAGTGCTTTCACCCTGGGGTCTCAGTTTATCTGGAAAGTAGAAATGGGTGTTATAACTGTCAATGAGCTCTAAAGGATTTGAAGGTGCTCAGAGAGGTAAAAAGTGCCCTACAAATGCAAAGAATTTCAATTAGTACCTTTAAATAGAAATGTAGCCAGGCAAGCCTGGAGTAGTGGAGGGTAGAAAGCAGGGGTGGAGGCAATGGGGAAAGCCGAGGGCCTATGCTCCTTGTATCTGGAACACCAGTCCTTCTCTGTCCTTCCAGGCTGAACCCGGACTCCCAGAGCCCATGCTTACACCTGACAAATGATGGCCTGAACTATGAACAAACAGGACTATATGACTACTTCAGTGCAAGAGCCCCCTCTTGACTACTCCTTCCGAAGCATCCACGTGGTTCAAGGTCAGCCTACAGAGCACAGCATTCCAATCACCATGGCAGCAGGCTGAGTGTGCTTCCTAGGGAGAAATCAGTCTTCTGCTTAAAAGCCTCAAGAGATTCTTCCCATATGCTTGCAGATTTTTTTTTTGTTGTTGTTGTATTTTCTGGGAAGATTAGAGGAAAAGGAGTTGAAGTGGAAGTGTCTGGCCTTTTAAAAGACTTGCAGAGCCCTGGCTGGGTTGCTCAGTTGGTTGTAGCATCATCCCATACACCAAAAGCTTGTGGGTTTGATTCCCAGCCAGGGCACATCCCTAGGTTGCCTTCTGACTCCAATTGGGATGTGTCTGGGAGACAACTAATACAATATTTCTCTCTCACATTGATTCTTTCTCTCCCGCCCCACTTCCTCTCTCTCTAAAAATCAATAAACGTATCTTTGGGTGAGGATTAAAAAAATATTAGCAGAAAACCAGAAAGGAACCAGGGGACTCTCAGGGTAATTGATCATCTTCAAAAGACAAGCTACAGCAAGAAAGTCAGGTGAAAGATAGCTGGGAAGCCAGTGTGTCAGCCAATAGTTTCATTGTTTTTACGTGGAGAGAGGAAGCTAATGGAAGGAAAACAGGGCCCGCAACAGAGTCCTAGCCAACATGCAGAATCCTATCTCCTCAGTCTGAGGACACAAGCCTATTCTGATCACTGGTGAAACATGAGCGGTCTTATTAACAAAAGTGGCATGTTTCCAGTTTAAATATTTACTGACATTTTATATTCATTCCAGTTATATCCAAGTTTATTCCATCCTCATCTACACTTATTGCAGGTTCCAGCACTGCCCATGCTTATCACACAATGTTATTGTAAATGGGCAGCTAGCACCTCACAGGAGGGGACACAGCAGCACTCTCAGCAATATCATTTGTTAAAAGATTTTATTTATTTTCAGAGAGAGGGGAAGTGATGGACAAAGAGGAGAGAAACATAGATGGGTTGTCTTGCATTCCCCAACTGGGGACCTAGCCTGCAAGCAGGCAAGTGCCCTAACTGGGAATCAAAATGGCGACCTTTCGGTTTGCAGGCTAGTGCTCAATCCACTGAGCCACACCAGCCAAGGCACAGTATCATATTTTTTAAAATTATATTTTGTTATTACAGTTGTCCTGATTTTTCCCCTTGACTCCCCCAACCAGCGCTCCCCAGTGCCTCAGGCAATCCCTACACATTTGTTCATGTCCATGGGTCATGTATAAAAGTTCTTTGGCTACTCCATTTCCTGTACTGTACTTTACATCCCCATGGCCATTCTGTAACTACCTACTTGTACTTCTTAATCTCCTCACCTCGTCACTCATTCCCCAACAAACCCCTCCCATCTGGCAACCATCAAAACACTCTCCATATCCATGCTTCTGTCTGTTCTTTGCTTTGTTTTTAGATTCAGTTGTTTATAGATATGTATTTATTGCCAATTTATTGTTTTGACCTTTTTCTTAAGTAAGTCCCTTTAACATTGCATATAATAATGGTTTGGTGATGAACTCCTATGGTTTTTTCTTGTCTGGGAAACTAGCTATCTGCCCTTCGATTCTAAATGATAGCTTTGCTGGGTAGAGCAATCTTGGCTGTAGGTCCCTGCTTTTCATGACTTTGAACATTTCTTGCCAATCCCTTCTACCCTGTAAAGTTTCTTTTGAGAAATCAGCTATCTTATGGGAATTTCCCCTGTAGGTAACTAACTGCTTTTCTCTTGCTGCTTTTAAGATTCTCTCTTTATCTTTAACCTTTGGCATTTTCATTATGATGTGTTTTGGAGTGGGCCTCTTTGTGTTTACCTTCTTTGGGAGTCTCTTTGCTTCCTGGACTTGCATGTCTATTTCCTTCACCAAACTAAGTTTTCTGTCATCATTTTTTCAAGTAGATTTACAACTTTTTGCTATTTCTCTTCTGGCACCCCTATGATGCAAATGTTGGACTTCTTGAAGTTGTCCCAGAGGCTGCTTATACTACCCTCATTTTTTTTTATTCTTTTTTCTTACTGTTCTAATTGGTTGTTTTTTGTTTTCTGATGTTCCGAATCATTGATTTAGTTCTCAGCTTCTTCCACTCTGCTGTCGTTTCCCTATAAATTGTTCTTTAATTAGTGTATCATTCATTTCTGACTGGGTATTTTGTATGCCACTGAGGTCCTCCATTCAACTCAATTTCTGATGGTTCTGAGTGATGACTGTTCTATATTTTAGTTGTAATTTTGATGTGGTTGTGTGAAGGAGCAAGCCATGTCTGCCTATGCCACCATCTTGACTGAAAGATATCATCATATTCTTAAGGAAATATGCTTCTTCTCAGGGAAGTTCTGCTGTCCCTGGCTTTTCTTATCTGGTTGCACAAAGGCTTCAGTGTATCTGTCCTCACAGAACACAGGTTGGCATCAATGAATCCTAGATCCATTAACTGGCTTTGATCTTCTTTTAGGCAATCATTGGCCACCTTTAAGTTCATGAAACAGGTGAACAGTTATCCAGGTTACTAGGAACTACTTGGGTTTGGTGTACTACGTGGGTTAGAGCATTAGCCACAATAGTAACTCATGTGTGTTCTTCAGTGAGCACATACCCACCTCCCATGAACTTTATTATGCGTGACATCACATCTGATTGATGTAGTCCATGTTTCACAAGGGTGTTAGCTGTAGTAATGGCTACATACAATATAGTTAAGGAGAGAGGGGAGGAAGGGAAGCGTGGCTCCTACCTACTCTGGGAATTCCCAGCTCTGACCGAGGGAGGTGTAGTTTACTCCCTATGGAGTCCTCAGAATGAGGATAAAGTCAAGCTACTACAATCAAGGATAACTCCACAGCACAAAACATAATCAGTATGATGCCCTGTCCTTCATTCAATGGTAAGTTTTTTCAAGCACCTATTTTTTTAAAGCACATATATCTTTTGTGTGTGTGTGTATGCATAGTTGAGTGTTGGGAGGGGAAAGAAAGAGGCACATCTACGCTCCAAAAGGCCAGTCCTCTCAGGTTCCCCAGAGCTTATGGAACACTTGCTTAATGTTGGGGTTAAAGGACAGGGTAGAGTTTGGGGATACTTGACACACTATTTGCTAATTAATAGATGAATCATAGAATCTGAAATGGCAGTGATTTCAGAAGGCATCCAGTGTGTACTGTCTCCAACCCATAGTCCTCTAACTTCCGCTTACAAATCTAGTGTTAAGGGAGTCCCTTACTACACACACCTATCCAGCCCATCCATTATGGGGTGAGGAATAACATAAGGAAGTTCTTCGTAACTCCTGACCTCTGGGGACACAGGGAAAATGTTGCATGGAAACCCTTCTGAGACATGACAGAATCATGTTTTCCCTAGGTCTTCCTGTAGCTAGACAACCTCCAGTTCTCTGAGTGTTATTTGTGGTCCAATTTCCAGACCTGCCTTAACTAACCTGATCAAGGAAGTTTCAGCAGATCCTCAGGCAATGCAGTGCCCTGCTACCATCTTGACCATCTTGGTCTGAGCAAAGCAGCAATCTACAGCAGTCTGGACACCTTGCTCCACCCTTGATAAAGCAACTTCAAGTTTTAGGCAATGCCATCCCACCAGTGGCTCCCTCTGAACTTGGGGTCAGCCCAGGCTTGGAGGCACTTCCCAAGCTGCTACCTCATCACATTGGATGCTAGTCCATATGTGGGTTTATTTTGACTTTAGCTTTTATGCATCTTTGTCATTTCATTTCTGAGTTTGCAGTCAGGAGATGTGAGGTTGGGAGGCAGATGTAGAGTTTCTTCACTAGCTGGGGTGTTCCAGTAACATCATGCCACCTTCCCCCAACCTCACACTCCAGCTGGGAGTTCTGCTCACTCTAGGACTAAGAGCCATCTGGTGGATGCTGACTGATACAGATGAGGAGGGAAGGAAGTTAACATTTCCTGGGGGTAGAAAAGAGTGAGTGTGTCCAGTAAGAGCTGAGGGGATGGTGAGGATAAACTGGCCAGTTAGAACAACTACTAAATATTTCCTTGGCAATTTTAGACAAGTAACTGAAGGCACGGGGCAGTAGGAAAAATATAGTCACCTCAGCTAGAGGTGGTGTCTGATTCTGGCTCTGCCACTGTGGGCTTGGGCAAAGCCCATCCTCTCTCTGGACCTTCATTTGTTAAACAACAAACAGGGAGGGGGCAGGACTGTCCATTCAGATGTGTTCTAACATCATTCTATTCCCTAATTCTCCTCACCTAAACTTTCTGTGCATGTTGTTTGTGTTACCTACTTACATTTCCTTACCTTCCATTCACTCTTGCACTCACTTCAATCTAGCTATCCCCAGACCCTTGCCATTTCCTTGAAATAGCCCTCATCTCTGTAAACCTGACTCCTATAAACTATGGATTCCCTGAGCATCTTTAAAACTATCCTCTTCTGGTTCTCCCTGCCCTTCCCTGATTATCCAGTAACTTCTTTAAGGGACTCTCATTCCTCCTTGTGCCTCCTACCTACTTTTACTATCCCTGAGGACTCTCATCTGTTTCTCTAACGTGTTCACTCTCTGTGCTAATTATTCTCAAGTCTGTCTCACACCTTTGTATCACACTGCCTACTTGGCTTCTCCACATTTTTGTACTATAAGAACCTCAGACACACCAAGGCCAAGTCAGACTCATCACCTACCCAACCATGTTTCTCCCTTTAATTCCATATCAGATCATAGATATGGCAACTGCCCAGTCACCCAAACAAGAAACTGGGCAATATCCTGGAATATTATTCTACCCTTACCTCCAGTCAACCATCAAGTCATACTGATTATCCTTCATCTTTTGCTTGGATGATTGAAAGAGCCAAATTGGCCTTACAGTCTCACCCACTCCCCAAAATCCAGACTCCATACCAGAGCTTCAGTGATCTCTTTTAAATGAAAGATTTGGATATCTCCTTTGCTCTAAAATCTCTAGTAGCTTCCCATCACCTGTGACGAAGCCTGGCATTCAAGGTTTCTTGACTCTTTTTTCCTCCTTGCCCCCTTATGTAGCATATACATGTGTGCCCCATGTTGTACTATACCTTCATGCCTTTGCTCATGCTCACCTTTTCCTAATTACTGAGATCCAATTAGGCTTCACCTTCCCTGGGAAGCTCCCATGAGCTTCAGACTGGGTGAGGCATCCCTCTTCCATGCTTCCACAACTCAAAAAGCATTTATCAGACTATTGCCAGTTTGTTTCCATCTTGCCCACATGAGCTCCTCCAAGACACAAATATCTTGTTTCAGCCCTGCCCTTTTACTCATACAGAGCTTTGCAGTGTCTCATTTTGTTCACCATTGTATATCCAGTGTCCGTCACATAGTTGTTTAATATTAATGGAAGAGAGCACATTCGAGTGTGTTACGCTCAAGTGAATTCTATAGGCTCTACCAGTAAATAATTCTGGATTTTGTGTTATCATCTTGGCTCAAACCCAACATCTCTGGTTTTTAGTTTCCTCATCTATAAAATAGGAATGGTTTTTGTCTCCTTCTTCCTAAGACATATACAGGGGTGGTACACAGAAGACCCAATGATACAACAGACATGAGAGAAGCATGTGACCCAAACTGAGTATGGGATAGGAAGTGTTTGGCCCTTAGTCCCAGCTTACTGACTCCTGGGGCCGGTGAGGCGGGAACCTTGAGCTGACAGTGGGTAGAGTAGCACTAGACTCGCACATTGGGTTATGGCCCTGCCAGTCCCTCTCATTAGCTTGGGCTGCTTATCCTCTCAGCTCTGTCACTTCCTATCCCCCAGACCCAGAAAGGCGAAGGTGATATACCTAGGCATCTCTTTGTCCCTACAGATCTGATAAGCGAGGAGCCAAGGACAGGGCTGCGACCACTAAGGCACTCAAAATCAGGGAAGTCACTGACCCAGTCCCTGTGGCTGAACAACAATGTCCTCAATGAGCTGAGAGACTTCAACCATGTGATTTCACAGCTGCTGGAGCATCCGGAGAACCTGGCTTGGATCGACCTGTCTTTCAATGACCTGACTTCCATTGATCCTGTGAGCTCCCAACCCTGGGAATCTAGTCAGAGTGGGTCAGAGTCTACCCTGTCCAGCCTCCAGCGTCTCCATCTCCCACATCTCATGAAAGCTGTGAGGGAGCATGGAACTATGTGTAAAGCACATAGCTATTGGCTCAGATGCAGGTTCAAACGCTAGATTTGCCCCTTAGGATTTTGGGCAATGTTACTAACTCTCCAAAACCTCAGCTTCCCTGTTTGAAAAATGGGGATAATATGCCAACATCACAAAGGTTTTGTGAGAAATGAGAATGTTTGAAAACCAACTGGCACATAGGAGGCTGAAGTAAAACTGTAGCTCTTGATATAGGGCACCCGCTGTATCTAGTGCTAAGTTCTTCTGTGAAAGAAGTAGGTAGTCAAAGTACAGCACTTACTTTTCATAAACTCAGACTCAAGTTTTAAGAAATAAATAGGGGGGAGGCAGATATAAGGGAACTAAATGGTAATGGAAAAAAATAATAAAGACTATGTTTTTTAAAAAAGGAAATAAACTTTGATTAGGTTTGGAAAAACAAACAAACAAGAAAACTGCCCTGACTGGCATAGCTCAGTCGGTTGGGCATCATCCTGCAAAGCAAAAAGTCACTGGTTCCATTCCTGGTCAGTGCATATGCCTGGGTTGCGAGTTCAGTCCCTGGTTGGGGCACGTGTGAGGGGCAACTGATGATTCTCCCTCCAGTTGACACTTCTCTCCCTCTCTTTCTCCCTCCCTTCCCCCTCTCTAAACATAAATCAAATCTTAAAGAAAGAAAACTGCTCCTTTTATGTCCAAGATCTGTTAGGGGAAAAGGAGCTAGAGCAAGACTAAGAAATTGTTCCTGGGGGGTAGTGATCTCAATTGCACCTTTATTTAAAATTTTATTTATTTTTAGAGAAAGGGGGAGGGAGGGAGAGAAATCGATGTGCAAGAGATATATCAGAGATGTATTCATTGGTTGCCTCTCACATGTCCCCAAACAGGAACCTGATCCACAACCCAGCCACGTGCCTTGACTGAGGATCCAACCAGCAACCTTTCGATTTGCAGGCTGGTGCTCAACCCACTGAGCCACACCAGCCAGGGCTCACCTCTATTTTAAAAGCTTCTCTTATATACCTTACACAGTGCTCTGTATCCCTGTCCCTTTTTGTGAAAGAATCTTAGCTCACCAAAGGTCTTCAGTGAGAGGGCAGCCAAGGCTCAGGGGAGGCAGGAAGCCCAAGCACCTGCCAAGTCAGTGGCAGTGCTGGGACCCAGGCCCATACCTTCCTGCCCCTCGGGTCAGAGCTCTAAATCGGTAATATAACCCTGTACTCCTTCCAAAGTAAATGAAAGTAGGTTGGAGTCATCCAGTATGCCTGGGGATGAGGGGGGGTGGTGGCGGGAGTGAAGGGCAAGTTGTTCTCCAAACTCTTCTCTGCCCTCAAGTTAGTCCTGAGCACAGCTCTAGACCCCTGTCCAACCTGGCTTTGGTTTCTTTCCCCAATAGATCCTGACAACTTTCTTTAATCTGAGTGTCCTCTACCTCCATGGCAACAGCATCCACCGCCTAGGAGAGGTGAATAAGCTGGACATCCTCCCTCGGCTCCGGAGCCTGACACTCCATGGGAACCCCATAGAGGAAGAAAAGGGATATAGGTAAGTGCCCTGCCCTGGAGCTGGGCTTACCTGAGGGAAAGGAGGGGAGACAAAAAAAAAAAAAAACCAAGAACAAAAAACCCCAGCACTACCTTCTGCCATGTTTGGGTCAGGGAAGCAAGTATACACCTTTAATCATTTCCTGCTCTCCGTCAGGATAAACTCAAGTCTCCTCTAAACAATACTCAGGTCCCTCCGTTCCTGCAGTCAGGGGAGATAGCAGCAGCTGGTGGTAGGGAAAATGGGGTGCCGGTGGTGGGGGGGGGCTGGCCCCCAGCCCAAGTCTTCCCCACAGGCAGTATGTGCTGTGCACCCTGCCCCGTATCACCACATTCGACTTCAGTGGGGTCACCAAAGCCGACCGCACCACAGCTGAAGTGTGGAAACGCATGAATATCAAGCGCAAGAAAATCCGGGCCAAGCAGGATGCACTCTGAGGTTCCTGAGACCAAAGCCATCCTGAAGGGCTGAGGATGGTCATTTTGGTTTGACAATACAATAAAGAATTTGAACTGTTCAGCAGATTAGAAGTCACTTGTACTATGTAAAAATGGCCCCAAACTCAGGCAATTGCCAGTAGCTGTGGTCTTGCTCCACTGAAAAGCAGGCAGTGGAGGGAAACGCCTGTTGGCCTGAGACATGAGAGACCTAGGCTCACTGCATGGCCCTGGAAAACTTATCTCAACTTTGGGCCATTTTTTTACTCTTCAGCTCAGATATCCTGAGAGTAAGAGTTGCTTCACAGAGCACCAGGGTTCTGTGAAGATGCCTCAGAGGCAATTGTGTTAGGAGGCCAAGAGGACAGGCCGTGCTTGCTGAACCCCCTATTTCAATCAGACCGGAGCAGTTACTCTCATATTTTGTATGCTGCGATTTTGCTTGAGATTTCATTTGATAAAAAGAATCTTCTGCTTGAAAACACTGGCTTGCAGACTCCACATCAGGTACTCCTGGTCTGTCTGCACCACCACCACCACCAATCTCTTCCCAGGCTCTTTAGTAATTTCACTGAGGCTAAGGCAGGGTCCTCCTCAACAATGACAGCTGCCTCAGTGCTCCCATCACTGGAGAAAGGACAGGCAATCTTACCCAATTTGAGGTTAGCCGAGGCCAAGTCTCAGCTAAGACCTGGGAACCCTGAACTTCTCTTAGTGTCCCTAGAAGAATCCCCCCTCCCCCTCATCCATCTCACTTAAACAGCCAGAAGCAAGCAGTAGGATGGTAGACAGGACAGAGGGGCTGAAATCAGCACACAGATGAATACATGTCCTTTATCAAGGGGAACAAACCAAAAAAAAACCAAAACAAAACAAAACAAAAAAAAACAAAAAACCCCACAACAACAAAAACCCAAAACCCCCAAACATGTAAAAACCCAGGGTGTTAGAAATACAAACTCAATTCATTCAAATTCAAGCTCGTCCAGACACTGGTCACAAACCCTAGTGAGGTGCCTGCGAGCACCAATTCAGGGAACAGGGCACAGAAAGAGTGGGAAAGGGGCCTCAACAGACCCTCTAGTGATCACCCCTCACAGTGTTACCTCCACCCCCTCCCAGTGATAGTGAAGACCTACCAGGCCTTGTCCTTTTGTTCCCCACCCCACCTCTGACCAGGGCTTTGAAGGCCAGTCCCAAATGGTTCTACCCTCCCTTGCTCCATCCTCACTTGCTCAGGCTTCTAGCCTCACTCTTCTCCTCCTCCACAATCTTCTCTTGATTAGTAGCAGGTTAGGGTACTGTATAAGCCACAGTGAGGCTGGGGGCCAGGGGAGGCAGGGTGGAGACGAGATGGGGTCGAGAGGAGAAGAAGAGCCATCCAAAGATCCCTGTCTTCATGGGATCCCAAACTGTACAACCAGCTCCTCTCTCGCGTCCACACGAATCTGAGAAAGTGCACTGTAGGCATAAGCAGCTATCCTGGAGACCTGAGACAGAGGGACCAGGGAGGAAAGGAACAGGGAGGTGAGAAGGGTGATCCAGAATCCCGGGAAAAGGATCAGATGGCCAGAGAGGGGAGAATGAAAGGGAGCATGAAGCCGAAGAGAAAGGCAGGGATGGGAAAGACAGAAGGAAAAGAACAAAAGCGGGGGGAAGCAGGTTTAGAGGAGATAGAGAAAGATAAAATATAAGGAAAAAGGTGGGAGCGAGCAGGGCCCACAAGCTACCAGACCAACTCCACTTCCCCACCTCCTATGTGGCAGGGTAGGTGAACCCTCTGCCACAGCCCGGGCAGTGTGGGCGGGCACGGGTGGGGTGAGGGGTGGCTCACCTGCTGCAAGTCGGAGAAGGGGATGGGCTCGCTGGCCAGCACTTGGTGGGGCTGGCTGGTGAGAGATGGCAGTGGTGGCAACTTCTTCCAATGGGTCAGGCTGCTGCTCAGCACAGCCAGGCGGTTGCTGGCCGAGAGGGAGGGGTGGGGCGGACAGTGAGGCCACAGGCTGCCCTGCCCTACCCAGCTCAGCCCAGAAAAGCCTCCCTCAGACCAGAGAAGCAGGGTGATGGGGCCTCAGCTTACCACCCAGGCCCACCTCCCTTGGCTCCCCACAACTTTGAGTGTCACAGGACAAATAGGGCTGATATGAATAGCTACTGAGGCACCTGAGAAATCTGTGGTCAGTCTTCTGGGCTGTACCCAAATGAAGAGGCTGGACTGGGGCCCAGGCTCCAAAGATGGATCCGAGATGAAGGGGACGGGAGGAGCCCAAGCAGCCTGAGGGACCCAAGCTGGTCAGGTGCTCACCTGTACTGCCTCGCCCGGTCCATGTACTCATGCTGCTCCATGCCCTGGGAATCTGCAGCAGACACGTCGATGATGTTGCTTTGGGGAGAAGAGGCAGAGAGGACATGACAGGTACATCCGAAAGGGACAAACAGAACTCACTGCCAGGTGCCAATCCCAGGGCTATCTGACACCAGCATCCCCACCTGCCTAATACAGAAGGGCTGGGCCCAGAGACACCTCTCCCACTGACCTTGTCCCTTCCCCCATGTCCTGGGTGGCTCCCTCTGCCCCAACCTTTAAAATAGAGATGGATTAGCTCTGCTGTACATCTCGTTCTGTGATGCTTACCTGGCTGTCTTGGCAAGAATGGAGGAGAGCAGCGCCTGTTCATCTGTGCGAGCAGAAGGCAGGCTGTAGTTGTTGGACTCGGCTCCATTGACAACTTTGGTGGGGGTGCTGTTAGGGCCCAGCAGCAGCTTCCGCTCCTCTTGGTCCTAGGAGACACCAAAAGGGAGAAGCTAGCCCTGGGACCTTTAGTCCAACCTGCTTTTTCTGGGCTCTCCTCTTAGCCCAACTCTGACCTTTAAACACCAAAAATATTTTTATTAGGAATATCCCAGTGCCCAACTATATGTCAGATAAGACACTTCCTGCTTGCCCTTGGAAGCTGAACTCAGCTAGTGGTCCAAGATGAATTAAAGTGGAACCAAGCAGTTGTAGATGCCCTGAAAAATGGACAGAGACACAAAGCAAATGTTCAGTAACAGCCCTGGAGCTTTAGAAAATAGCCCAGCAACTTATAAAGACAGAATATTAGAGGCTGGAAGCCAGAAGAGGTGGAAAATACCAAAACAGTGGGGTCTAAAGAGGAAACAGATGCAAGCTAGGAGCCCGAGAAAGGCCCTCCAGATTCCCCAAACCAGGTCCCCGTCTGCCCCACCCTCCCCTCCTCCAGCAAGGTTGTCTATTTCCCAGATACAGAGGCCCTGTGAGGCGAGACAAAGCCCTAGGCCCAAAGAGAAAGCAAGTCCAACCTGTCAATGCCCATTCCTCATATTATTTCAGGGCAGGAGTCCCAGACCCAGCTTCTGGGTCACACACTCCAAGTGTGCTTCCTTCTTGAGGGCAGGTCCCTTCTCCTCTTGCAGGTGTCCTCTCCTCTGATGCTCTCTCTTTGTATGGGACTCCCAGAGCCAAACTTGGTGCACCTGGTATATCCTGACTTAAGCTAAACAACGGAGCTGTTCCCTCCATTGACAAGTCACCATAACCTCTATCAGTGTGGCTTTGTTCATGATCAGAAGCCCTGTTACTACTAACCTACACTGATGTCACAACCCCCCAGAACTGACCTGGGGCCAAAGTCTCCCTGGTCCTATATAATTCTGTGTGTATTTCTCCTTGTCCTGCCTGGTCTAGTCCTTTGTCCTAATCTTTCTGGACACAACCCTGGTTTGAGCCCATCAGCTGCAAACCCCTGTTGGCTTTGTGTCAGCTACAAATTGGATAAGCGGACCTGCTGTATACTTATCCAAGCCATAAAGATTGAGGGTTTCCAGGACAAATTCAAGGACAAGGGGCCCATCCTAACTAATGCTGACTCACCAACACTTAGTGCCAGACCACGAGACCTCTCAGTGTTCCACTCCAGGCCTATCTCAGTTCATACCACTGACTTTCACACTGCAGGCTCCCAGCATCCCTGCTGACAACTCTGACAACTCTAACGACTCTCCTTGTGGAGGGCGATTTCCTCCTGCCCTGCCTACCCCACCCTAGGCATGCCCAGTCTTGCCACAGGACTTTTCCTGCTCAACCCTAGGTCACCGAAGTGTCCCCAGTTCCCAGCAACATGAGACAGAAACTATGGGCTTCTGTCCATCACCTCCCAAATCCTAGACAACCCACCTCCCTAAAACACAGGCTAAGTATTAAAGGGCTAGAAAGGCAAAATTCTTGCCAAAGATTAAATTATCTCTAAGGAAAGCTGGTTCCATAACGAAGCCTGAGCTTGCTTCCTATGTGTCCATCCTTTCCCCAGGACAGGGCAGTTTCTCCCCTATCAGGGATTCTTCAAGAACAAGGTTGTGTTCCTGAGATCTGGTCTCCTGGGGCCATACCACTTCCATTGGAGTGGACAAATAACGTCACTTCACCCACAAAGGGTGAATGGAGCATAGGAGAGGTTTTTCACACTGACATTTGTCCCTGAGTGAATGTTAACCCGGGAGTCAGAGTTTCACTGTCTACCCTAGCATAGACACATATGTGGCCTGCCCATGCCTAGCCATCTGGTCCATGGGCGCAGCTAAAAGAGAGAGCTTGACTCAATGGATAGAGCATATGGCTTGACATCAAAATACCTTGGCTATGGCACTTCTTGGTTTTGTAACCTTTGCAAAGTCACTTAGGTTCTCTGAACTTTTTCCTTGCTTTTGTTTACTTATTTTAAAAATTCTTATTTATTGATTTTAGAGAGGAAGGGAAGGTGAGAGGAGAGAGAACCCTCGATTTGTAATCCCACTTAATTATGCATTCATTGGTTGAGTCTTCTTGTATGTGCCTTGACCAGGGATGAACTCACAACCTTGGCATATCGGGACAATGCTTTAACCAACTGAGCTACACTGCCAGGGCTTCCCTGTCTTTAAATAGATGTAATCGGTACCTTATGATAGATGTTTGGCAACAGTCAAATGAGATAACTGTAAAAGGGCTTTAAAAACTCTCATATGGTGTGCTTTTTAAAAATTATTATTATTATTATAATAAAAGGACAGTGATGAGAGGGGCTTACCCAAGAGCTCAAAGACGGACTTTTTGATAGTGAATGGTTCTGGCTTATAGACCAGGTAAGACTTTTGTCACATAAGGCTTCAAATCACTTAGCACTGACCAAATACTATCTTTGGCATTTAGAAACAGAAGTGAGAGGCCATCAGGGGCAAGGAGGAGACTGAAGACAGCAACAAGCCCAGCTCTTCCAGCTACAAGCTGGTATCCTTTCTCATGAGGCAGGCATTAACCCTTCTTGACTCATTACCAGCAAGAGTCCATATTATACTTTAAGGGACAACTTCCCACAGGCTACGGCTTTCCCAGTAGGCAGAGATACTGCCTCTTTTAACAGGCTGGGGTGAAGTGAAGAGTGTGGGCTATGAGGCATGCCTAACGTAAGACGGAGGAAGTATGCGTTCATTGTGTCCAGCCACCCAGGCCTCTCATACAAATGACATTTTCCAAGCCTAAGTCCTTAACCCAAAAAAAATTCACGTGAGTCACTGGGGAAAGACCTACTCCCAAGTACCAGTGATATAATCCATTTCTGTGACCATGTACCCCACAAGACTATAGGCTACGTGCTGAAATCTTTCTACTGTCTGTGTGTCTAGTATGTGTTGAAACGTGGAACCCAGTCACAGAGGCAATCAAAAAGGTGAGTGGCCAACAATTTAAGACTTGATCCTTGGAGGCTTCCCCTCCTCCAGGGAGGTCAGGTCGGAAGGGCCAGAATTAAAGGGTGCCACGAAGTGAGAATGCACTAAGAGGAAGAGGAAGAATTTAAACTTTACAGCTTTCCCAAGTCTAATTCTTGCGAAGGGATCAGATCTACAGCCATATTCCCAGGGCAAGATCCCCTCTAGCTAGAGGAACCCTCAAGCCCTAGGCAGGAACTGCACTGGAGCAGGCCAAACTTGAGCTCCCCATACCACAACCCCCACCTAATCCAGGCGAAGGTAAATCCGATTTTTTACTTCCCAAGTAATTTCCCACACGGGCCGATGTCCTCGCTGAGTCTATTAAAGCCTTCACCACCTCAAATGCTACCAACTTCGAGACCCTCTCTGACCCCAGACCAGTAGTGAGCGTGCTTCTCCAACCCCAGGGACTGAGAGAATACACAGATTTCTGATTCATCTCAGGACAAACTAATTCTGAGCCTCAGCTTTCCCACCTCTACAGTGGATTCACAAAGATCGCTAATAACAAGCACAGGCAGATGGGAAGGGAGTGTTTCCCAGGGACCTAGGCTAGGGATACTTGAAGCAGTAAAAGTTTGAAGGTAAGGGAACGTGAAAGGGATGGGAGCAAGTGAGATACGCAGATGCCTGCACACCCCAACGCGGGGACTGTGTGGAGAACTGGGGCTTTAACAGGAGGAGAGACCGGCCCCGCGCCTCCTCTGTAATCTGTCCTCTCCGGGCCTCCGTACTCAGCGAGCCCCACCGTATGACACCCCTTCTTCAGCAAGTTTTTTCCTGGGCCCCATGCCCCAGGGTCTCAGCCCTCATTCCCGAGCCCCGCCCGCCACGGCCGCACCTGGTTCGAGTCCTCGTTCTCGCTGCTGTAGCAGCACCCCATGGCCGGGGTCGGGCCGGGCGCTCAGGCCGCACAGAGGAGGGACGGCGTCCGTCAGGAGCCCTTCCGGTCACATGACCCGTGGCTGCAATCCGCAAGCAACCACCCGCCCCTACGACTATACCTTCTCAGAGTCGCTTCGCTGCCGCCGCGCCGCCGCAACCCCGGCTTCCGGTTCTGTCCCTACCGCGTGATCACCTCCGACCAATGGGTAGGCGCACTTTGCGCGACAAGGCTGGAGACACGTGACGGGAGGAAAGGGAGGAGAGTATCACGTGATTTCAGTCACTTCTCAATCTCAGAGCTCCAGTTCTCCTCTCCCTGCAGGTCGAAGAGGCTTTTCTGTGATTTAGGTGGTCGCGGGGCCGTAAAGTCTATCTCTGCGAGCCAGCGGGAGAACTCATAGCAAATGCCGTCATGATATATTTTCTTAAATGTCACACGAGGGGCGGTTGGGATGCATACACGTAAGCCCCAGTTGCCCCGCACAAAGTCGGGAGATACAGAGAGTGTGACACTCAACGTAATTCTCGACCTGGGCTGGGGACCTGACACTTAAAAGAGGGAACCTTACATCTTCACAAGCCAAAGCGGAGTGGAGCTTTATGCTGGCAGTGAAAATAGCGGCCACCTTACTGAACTCCTTACCCTTAGGCATTTCTATTCAATCCTGCCATTTTATGGCAATCATGTCTTAACACACAAATCTGATCATTGGTGTTTTTAAAACCATTCCGTTTTCCCTTGAACCCCGAACACAGGTCCAAGTTTGTCATTCGAGATCTTGGAAATGCTGCCCTGCCTGGTGTGGATCAGTGGATTGAGTGCCAGATTGCGAATCAAAAGGTCGCCAGGGCACATGCCTGGCTTGAGGAACCTCCCAAGTTCGGGGTGGGGGGGTGGGAGAGGCAACGAATCAACATTTTTCACATCGGTCTCTGGCCCTCCCTCCCTTTCCCTCTCTCTCAAAGTAAATAAATAAAATCTTTAAAAAAAAAAAATCTTGCATCCCCAACACCTGCTTCCCATTCCAGACCCAGAACCGGTGGAAGAAGGTGGGAGGGGTTGGGGGAATGCCATTTGCAGTTTCTTGATTGACCTCCTGGACTTTGCACATGTGTCCTGGCACTGTTTCCCTGCCAGGTCTGTGGGCTTTCGTCAAGACCCAACAGTATCTTGATTGCCTTCTCTGATTCTATTCTCTGGGCATCTCCTGTGCTTTATCCCTATCCAGTGTTTATTAAATCAAATATTTACTGAGTATCTGCAACATGCCACACACTGTTCTATCTGAATATGTAGCAGTTCACAGAACAACCAAGAGTCCCTGTATTCATGGAGCATCGGTTCTAGTGATCACGTTATATTGTTTTCTCTGTTCCTGCACTTGTTTTTTCCTGCCAAATATGGAGTTTAACAACCACCACCACCACAAAACATGGAGTTCCTGGAGGACAGGACAGGATTTGACTCTTCTTTGTGACCCATGTCCTCACACTTACATAGAGAAGACTTGAATTTGGAATTAATGAATAAATTATAACCTCCCTGTCACCTTGACTCACATCATACCCCTTGTGCTGATCCAAGAGATTGGAGGAAAGGGCACCAAGCTCAGTAGCTCTATTACCCCTCAAATCAAGATTTTGGAGTTCTTATAAGTTATGTGAGGGTTTCTGAAGGATAGGAGGCAGCTCCAGCTTGTCCCTGGGGTAGTAACTTGAACTGCAGGTTTCAGGTGACAGCAGCCGCCTCAGCATCAATAATTGAGAGCAGGTCCAGCCTGCCTCAGGGTTCTCCCCCTACTGTCCAAGGACTCCCCCCTCCTGTCCCACGCTCCGATCTTCCCCAAGCAGAAGCCTCCAGTCCAGGTAAGCAGGGCCCTTGAGTGTGGGTTCCCAAGCACACCAGTTCAAACTCGCCATCACTCACCTATCCACACCTATTCATACATTCCTACTTTCAATTTTAGTTCCCACCACCAGCAGCCGCCTCACAAGGTTCAGATGGTCCAGGGAATGGGAGAAGGCAGGGAACTTATCCCTCATAGTGGGTTGCAGGAAAGAGGGCTGAATGAGGAGAAAGTGTGTGTTATGTGTATGCACATATGAAGGGAATGCTGAGAAAGAAGAAAGGAATGCAGGGGAGATGAGACAGGACTGGAAAAAATATATACAATCAGCAACTCTTCTCAACCTCAGGGAAGCATAGAGAGAAAGTCCTGGGGTGGGAAGGACATCCCATCCTAACACCCTATGGAGTGTTTTGGTTGCCTTTTACTGAGGCAGAGCAATGACCATGAAGGGGTTTCTGACTCTAAAGCTGTGCTCTTTTGCTATACAGTAATGGGTCAAAGGAGACCAAGCAGGAAGTGGGTAGGGCAGGAGAAAGATATTGCAGAGGGCAACTGGTGCAAAAGGGGTCCTGAAGATTGGAGACAACAGAGATGAGAAGAAATGGGTGGAGGGAGCAAGGTGAAGATGGGACCAGGGGCCAGAAGTGAGAAGAGGTGGTTTGGGATTGGGTTCTGAATTTAGCATGGAGTCCTTGAAAGTACATGGGTTTGGGATCAGAGCAATTCAGATTCAAATCCTAGTTCTGCTGTGTGACTCTGGAGAAAAGACTTAACCTCTCTGAGCCATCGTTTGCAAAATATAGGGATAATAATTACTACTGATAAGGGCTGCAAAAATGACAGACAGGTGTGAGTTTCCCTCACTGCCTCCCTTCACCCCAGGACCCAGGTAGGGACCATGTCTCCAGCCATCGCGCTAGCCTTCCTGCCACTGGTGGTGACATTGCTGGTGCGGTACCGGCACCATTTCCGACTCCTGGTGCGCACAGTCTTACTGCGGAGCCTTCGAGACTGCCTGTCAGGGCTGCGGATTGAGGAGCGGGCCTTCAGCTATGTGCTCACCCACGCCCTGCCTGGGGACCCTGGTCACATCGTCACAACTCTGGACCACTGGAGTAGCCACTGCGAGTACCTGAACCACATGGGGCCTGTCAAAGGTCAGTGTTCCCTAGCATTCTGCTCCAGGAAGCACCCCCCAAGATAATGAATAAAGAGCTGGGATCTGCTGCTGCCTTAATGAGTGAATTGGGCAGGTTTTTGGTCCTCTATGGGTCTCTTTATTCTCCTCCACAAATGAGGGGTCTGGGCAAAGCTATTCATTCATTCAGCAAACATTTATTGCCAGCTTTTTTGGGTACCAAACATGTGGTGGGTGCTAGAAGAGAAGGAAGTAGAGGCCACATGGATGAATCAGCCACAGATACTGGCCTCAAAGGGAATGTAATACACAGGGGAATAATCATCTCCACACATAACTCCTAACTTTGTAATGTCTTTCTCCCCCATCACAGAGGCTCCCAGATCCTATTCAGGTAGCTGTCTGCCTGGATTTGTCTGAGCCCCAGCTCCCAGCACAAGTGCTTTCAGAGTATTATTTAAGAAATCGGTCCAATTCCAAAGTTAGAAAGATAGCCAATGAACAAAATAAGGGGGAATGAAACTGGAAGTTCCGGCAAAAGTCCCTCAGAAGCCTGGTGGTTGTTTCTGCCTGGACCTTCCTGGAGGAAGCAACAGTTGAACTGAGCTTAGTAGGATTGTTCTCAAGTTGGTCAGGCAGTTGAGGACAGGGTGGGGAAGTGCAAAGCCAGCCATATATTCAAATGTGGCAGGAAGGAATCTGTCAGAATGGTTGATCCTGGGCACAGTTGTTTGAGATGGCTGTGGTACAGGCTAAAGTTAGGAAGAACTGAGAGCTGAAACTGGAAAGGTAAGGTAGGATCAGTTCCAAGGACGTCCTGAATGTCAGACTGAGGATCCCAAGTTCAATCCCAAAGGTCTTAGGATCAAGGAACCAGGAAATGATAGTGTCACATTTGCTTTTCACAAAGATTCCTAGTGGCTGTTGTGAGACTAGATTGAAGGAGGCAAGGCTGGAGGAGCAGGGAGACCAGTGGGGCAGCTGGGGCTATATATAGTTCGAGGGAGATAATATCCTAGCTGGTTGGAAGCTGCAGTGAGGCAGGTGGGCACTGGTGATCTCTTTCTATGGCCTGCCATGCATCTCCCATGTCTGCTGCAATAGTCATCTCCCTCCACAGGTCAGATCCTGATGCGGCTGGTGGAAGAGAAGGCCCCCTCTTGTGTGCTGGAGCTGGGCACCTACTGCGGGTACTCCACACTGCTTATTGCCCGTGCCCTGCCCGCTGGGAGTCGCCTTCTCACTGTAGAGCAGGACCCACGTACAGCAGTGGTGGCTGAAAAGCTTATTCGCCTAGCTGGCTTCGACGAGCGCACGGTCAGCCCCCACCTCCCCAACCCTGGTCTCTTCCCTTGGCCTTGCCCTAGCCAGGCCTCCCCGGTGGGGGAATCCCACCTAAGAGAAGGAAGCAGCTCCACTTAGGAAACTGTTATCCCAGAGGCTGTATGAACTCCTGTCCTCCTCTTCCAAGTCATTTGTACATATTTGCTGCTGAATGACAAAGAAGCAGTTAAAGAGGAAAGTCCCTGGAGCCCAGAAAATCTGGGCGCAAACCTTAGTCTGCTTCTTATTAGCTATGAGACCTTGGGCCAAGCACTCATCCTCTGAATCTCAGCTTCTTCACTGGTAGACTAGAAATCACAATACAGATCCTGACCTCTTGGGTTCTGAAACCAGAGGAAATGTGAGAACACTGGTCGGGATCCAGACCAGGGACTGGCATAAAGCTAGATCCTGGTGGGGTCTGATGTGGGACAACCCTGTCCATCCCACCCTCACCTCCAGCTCTTCCCACTCCCACAGGTGGAGCTCATTGTGGGTAGCTCAGAGGAGGTGATCCCACGCCTACGAACCCAGTACCAGCTGAGTCGGGCAGATTTGGTGCTTCTGACACACCGGCCCCGATGTTACCTGCGGGACCTGCAGCTGCTGGAGGCGCATGCTTTGCTGCCAGCTGGTGCCACTGTGTTGGCCGACCACGTGCTGTTCCCCGGTGCACCCCGCTTCCTGCAGTACGCCAAGAGCTGTGGCCGCTACCGCTGCCGCCTCCACCATACTGGCCTCCCAGACTTCCCTGCCATCAAGGACGGCATAGCCCAGCTCACCTACGCAGGGCCTGGCTGAGGCCCAGGCCCAGGGGTACTTACTGCTGCCCCACCTTACCCCCGCCCAAGCAAGGACCTCAGAACATCCCTTCCCCTCCCTGCTGTGGCCTGACACATGCTGGGCTCAGGGTTGGGGAGGCTCTCCTCCTAACTCTGCCCCACTCACCTGAGCCATCAAGGTCTGTCAGGCTGCTTGGTCCCATTGCTCTCCCTCCTTCCAGAGAAAGCAATGAACTGACAGGCAAAAGTCCTGAGCTCCCACCCCAGCTTTGTCACTGATTTGCTGGGTGACTTCATGGGAATCCCTGCCCTGCTCAGACTTTATCTTCTCTCTTAACACCAAGGAAGTGGGCTAGGAGAGCTCTAGGGGCTTCCCAGCTCTGGGCCTCAGAAAGCCTGCCCTTCCCAGCCCAAGCCTTTGTGGATAGGATTAAAAGAAACTGTAAACTCTGAGGTAAAGGCCCTGCAGGAATGACTGGTGCATGCTGGGCAAGAGGAGATGGCAATGCAGCCTGGGGCCAGGTCTTGCTCCTAGCCTTCCCTAGCTCTGGCCCACATGGCCAGGTAGGTTTGCCTAAGGTCCTTTGAATGCCCTCTCCCTAGAACTCAAGAGAAGATGCTGGATTCCTCTGGGCCCCACCAACAAAGAGGGAATAGACATGGGGGAGGGGGGCAGAATTCAGTCCTGTGTCTTTATTAAAGAGAGTTAGAAAGAGACTACACCTGGCAATCAAGAGGTGAGGTACTGGCCAAAAAGGTGTGGTGGGCTCAGGCCCTGGGGATTCAAGGGCAGGCTGATGGCCTGGGAGGGGCCAAGGAGACCAGGTCCTGGCAGCAGCTGAAGAGGTGCCTGAGGGTGAGCTTTCAGGCACTGGGGTGATCAGCTGGTTCTGCAGGGGTTACAGGTAGGTTGCGTTGGCCTGGAATCTCCCTGAGGCCACCATGCCTTGTCTACTTAGATCATCCACTGGTCCTGATCCTGTTCGTTGCCTTCCATGTCCACCTGGAGAGGAGGCTGGGTGTAGGTGGGGAGGGGCCTCAGCCACCCAGCCAACCCCAGTCCCAGATCCTGCTCCTGGCTGGACCCAGGGTTTCTGAACCCCTTGGCCACCAATTAGGTCAGGGGCAGGGACCCAGGAGCAGAGGCCTTCCCCACACCTCTGCTTACCTCATTGACCTCCCCATCGTCAGGTGATTCATTGTAGTCATTCATCTCGTCCATGTCCTGCATGTCCTCATCATCCTCTGAGTCCTCTTCACTATCCTCATCATCATCTTCATCTTCTTCCTCCTCATCATCATAGTGCTAGTGAGGCAGGAGAGAGTCTGTTGAACCAGTTCAAGGGCTGGCCCACCTGGAGCCTCTCTCTGGAGCCACAAGTGACCCCACTCCCTAACCCTGCTCTACTTGAGTCTGTAGGCTGATGCATGCTCTGCAGGACCTTAGTTCTAGGTAGGCCCAATACCAACCCCCTCTAGCTCCTGACTCTGGCCTCCATCTAGAGCTGAGAACCAAAACTGCTCTAGAGTCAGAGGCAGGACCTTTGGAATTAGAGCAGAGCCTTTGTCCATCAGGGCCCCACTCACCTCTGAAGCTGGCTTGCCAATAGGTACCAGGTTGTTGTCTTTCTCTGCAATGCTCTGGAGCTGTGGCCAAAAGGGAAGAAAAGCAGGGTCAGGGCACAACAGAGAAGGTCAGGGGCAAGGGACTAGACCACATTGCCCCCAAATAAGATACCCAAGTGTGAAGGAGAAGCTTCCTGTTCTCAGGAAGATTCAATCCCTTTCTCTCCTGTCATCTGCCACTTACTTCTGAACTTGATGCAATTACATAAACTCTCTAGGTCTTGGTTTCCTCATAAGATTATGGTGAGGGTGAAGTGAGAGACTATCAGCCTAGAACATGGCCTCTGCTAAGTCCTCAATAAATAGTCAAAAATATTATTTCCTATGCTTTAGGGAAAAGAGCCTGGACTGCAACCTGGCCCAGAGATCCCATGGTCCCCCAGCAAGTTAAGGTAACACAAAGATGAGAACCTAGCTCCCTGCTTCCCCCATCCCTTGCCCAGCTCCAGCCTGATTATTCTCAGTTCAAAGCAAAAAGGTCCTCTGGGGCAGGTCTCAAGATTGGGTCATGGCCAGTGAAAAGGGGATCCCTGACTGAGCCTCCACCACTGTGCTAGGTCCTCACTCACCCAGGCCTGATGCTGCTGTTCTTGCTGCTGCAGCTCTGTCTCTTCCACACAAGGTCGATCCAGATTAAACCACAGAGTCTCAGTCACACGGGGAAAGAGTGAGGGAAACAAGGTGGACATGGCTCCTAGACTGAGAGAAAAGGTCAGGTGAATCCAGCTCTCAGATGTATTTGGTTTTGGTTTTTATTTGGGTTACAGTTTGATTTGGGGGTGGGGTGGAGTGGAAGGAAGCAGGGAACCAGCTCTTCCCTGTGGGAATCAGACAGACCTGGGTTTCAGTCCTGGCTCCACCACTTACTAGCTGTTTGACCTTGGCCAAGTCACTTAACCTCTCTGAGCCTCAGTTTCCTCATCTGTAAAATGGGGATAATAACAATTATACCATCCTCAGTTATTCTGATCATTAAGTAAGGTAATATACTTTACGGATAAGTAAAACTGTTTGTAAGCTGTTCAAGGAGGGAAGAGAATAGAAGTCAAATACAGAGATAGGAATCCAAAATGCAGAGTAGCATTACAAAATTAGAAGTAGCAGGGCTCTACTGAAACTGCCTCTTATCTCCTCCAAACACTAAGACCTACTTTTTGGATCTCTATGAAGGTCCATACATAATCCACCCAGTGTCCGAAATTTAGGACACTAATCACTTCTCTTATAAACTACAGCCAAATTGGGGGAGGAGGGAAGGGCGGGGGCACATGTGCAAGTATTGTTCAGTAAGCCATTCTAAAGACATGGGTTAATGTATAAATAAGTAGATGGAAGGTTGAATGGATGAACTAATATGTGAGAGAACAAGTAAATTCTGCTCGGATTAAGCAGCTGAGGGAGCTGACCAGCAAGGGCTCAGAGAATATTAATTCAAAGCCTTTCTGCTCCAGGAAAATTGAGGCCCAGAGACCAACAACGACTGGGCTCTGGATCACAGTGAATTGAAGCATAGAACTCCAGCGTAGAAGAGACCCAGGCCGGGTTATAACGATGAGCAGGAAAAAAGGATCTAGGTCTAGTTCTGCTTTGCCCTAACTTATTTGACCGATCCGGGGCCAGCCTGCCCTTCCGTGGACCTCAGCTTCCCAGAGTATGTAACCAGTAAAACAGGAACATCCCTCCAGTCCCAGTACTGTGAGGCACAAAACCAAAGCTTCGAAAACCCAACCCCTCACCGCAAAGCCACCGCCCATTCTTTGCTTATTATGATAATGACCGTGAGGTTGACCAACAGGAAGAAGGCAGAGGCGGGATTCGGAGAGACACCTTATACAGTTGCTAATAGCTAAAGGAGCGGGGCTTGAATAGGGCCAATTAACTGGAAGAAATACTGGGTGACAAGAAGTGACACCAATGAATGACGGATCTTGTGTGACGGGGTGGGGCTTACTCTCGCGGAAGCGGCCAATGAGCTGACGCTTTTTAATATTAAAAGGAGTCTGAACACTGAGCTCCCGAGGAGGCGGGTCAGGGAAACGGGGTTTCTCTGGGGGAGGGAGGAAGGGGCAAGGAGACAGCAGACGCAGCCTTGCTTCTGTACTTACCGCGCCGGGAGGCGGCTGCCGGCAGCGACCCGGAAGCACTTCTCTCCCCCTGAGCGGAAGGACCCACCAGAAACCAGGGCAGACCAAACGCATGCGTCATTGCTCTTCTTTTGTTTCCCGCTCCCGCCTACCAGACCGGATGTGACGCTACGCACCTTAGTCACGTTGTTGGAGATGGAAATTTGTCGCGCCTGCTGTTGGCCCCGCCTTGAAACCCAAACAATCCTCCCCTCCAGTCAGCCGTCCCTTCTCCCCCCAACCCACGCCACCCGCTCCATTTAACCCCGCCCCTTTGCCTACAGACAGTATTTGCTTGCCAAATCCCGCTGAAAAACATCTGGGTGCCACCTGAGGTAGTAGTTGTCCCGATTGTTCTGCTGCGTACTAGGAAAATTAGTCTGCTTCTAACCCTCAGTTTCCCGTTTGGGTGCATACATTCATTTATGCAAGCCTTTAGCGGAAATATTTGAGTCCCTACTGTAATCTAGGTTCAGCAAGAAGCTCAGAATAAATCTAGAAATATGGCCCCTGCCCCAAGCACCCCACAGAAGTGGGGAAGCCAGACTCTGCAGACTGGCAGCGGTTTCACTTGTCTGCATTCGAGATTACGTAAGGGCTTAACCGACTAGTCAGCCTCAGGCACAGCTGAATTCCTCTGCTGCTGAGAAATTCAGCTGCCCTTTTCAGACCAGGGCTAAATTCGCTTAGTCGTCAGCCTCGTCATCTCTCCCGTTCCTTTGCTTATGTCTCTGTTCTTGTAACCTCTGACTCACTCTTCCCTTCAGAGAACCTCATGCCTTCTGGCAAGAGGTCTTTGAACCCAACTCCCATTAAACTCCATCTCCCATCAGCTTCTTCCAGGGCCAGCAAAACACAAATACTCTCCTGCCCCAACGAGATGTGTGCCCTTTAACAAGTCTTCCCGCCCCCCACCCCCGGAATGTTTCTTCTTCAAATGACATCATAATCTCTGTCCAGCCTTCCTCCTGTCCTGGACTGATGTCAGGTTTGTGAGATAACATCATTAAGAGGTCCTGTACTGTGCATTTTCAAGCAGCTCTGCTTGTTATAAAGTTTTCCTTTGAAGAGTAACATTTGCCTCTTGGAAATGTCTACCCTTTTCATTCATTCATTCATTCAACAAATACCTACAAAGTGCCTTTTTATATGCCTGTCAATATTCTAAGTAATGGATACACAATAGTGAAAAAAATGGACAAAAAAATTTCTTGGAATTTCCATTCTAATGAGAGACCTAAACAATAAAGATAAATAAAATATATACTGTAGCTTAAGAGTGCAGTAAATACTACAAATTGAAAATAAAAGTGGAAGAAAAAAAAACACTGGCAGGAGGAGAGGTTTTATTTTAGATAGGGGAGCCAAGGCAGACCTTATTGGGAAGGTGACTTTTGGAGAAAGTTCTGAAGAAAATGAAACATAGAGAGAGAGAGGACACTACTCTGATATTTAGGGAAAAGCATTTCAGCAAGTGCAAAGGGCCTAGAAATAGCTAGAACACAGTGTACCCTGGGGAGGGAAAGAGAAGACTGAGAGGTAGCAGGAGCCAGATAGCACAGCCTTGCAGGTCATAATAAGGACTTTGACTTCTACCCTGTGTTTAGGATCTTGACAAGTATTTTGAGTAGAGGATCTACACAGTCTGATTTATATTTTAACAGAGTTACTCTGGCTGTTTTATGAAGAATAGATTTAGGAGGGGCAGTGTAATAAGCAGGGAGACCAATTGGGAGCCTCTTATCATAACCCAGAGGTGGGGGATGAGAAATGATTGAATTTTGAATATACAGTTGACCCTGAATAATGCAGGGCTCAAGAACCAACCCATGCAGAGTTGAAAATCTTCATATAACTTTTGACTCTTCCAAAACTTAAACTGTCCCTCAGTATCTGCAAGGAATTGGTTCCAGGACCTCTCACAGGTACTAAAATCCCCACAGATGCTCAATTCCCCTAGATAGATCAATGCTTATAGTTGGCTTTCCACATCTGCGAACTCCCAACCCTGAATGAAAAACAGTACTGGTATTTACTTTAAAAAATCCACATATAAGTGGACCCATGTAGTTCAAACCCATGTTGTTCAAGAGCCAACAATATTTAGAAGGTAGACATTAACAATGTTTGCTGACAGACTGGATGTAGAGTATCAGAGGAAGAAAGGAGCCAAGATTTTTGGCCTAAACAACCAGAAGACTGGTGCTGGCACTTTTTGAGATGGGAAAGATAAGAGAAGTGCTAATTTTGGGGAAAACTATCTGGAAATGATTTTTTGACTGTGTTGAGTTTGAGATATCATTAGAATAGAGATGTTGAGGGGGCAAAGGGGCATATGGGTCTGAAGGTCAGGGGAGATATCTAGGCTGGAGATATCAGTTTGGGAGTCATCATCACATAGGTGGTATTTAAAGCCATAAGTCTGGATGAATACACCAACGGAGTTAGTGTCGATGGAAAATAGTTTCCTTCAAAATTCAGAATTTGAGGAAACTAGGAGAAGCAGCAAACCAGACTGAGGAGAGCCAAAAAGATTCGAAAGCCTGGCATGTTGGATGGTACCCTGGAAGACAAGTGAAAAAGGAGTATCAAGGAGGAAACAGTGATCCACTGCATCTTGGTTCTATACAAAATTGTATTTCCGTGTGTATCACCAGCAGACCATGAGCTCCTTGAGAACACAGACTGGGTGGTTTCTATGTCCCCAGGCCCCATCCTGATCTCTCCCTTTTCCTGAACCCGTTATCTGCTCCCCCTGTGATTTATGTCCCCATTAGTTTCTCTTCCTGCTTCTTTTCCTTACAAGATCCCTACCTCCAGCACCCTTTGCCTCCCATCCTTCCTGATAGCTCTGGCCTGATGGAAATTCCCTAGTAACCAACATTTTCTTACCAAGTCCGTAAGACAGTTTCAACAAGTCATGGTGACTGGTTACCTGGGAAAGGGGAAAAGGGAGAGAGATAAATGGAAATTTTGAACAGTTACCCATTTTTGGCTCTGGCAACTGAGTCAATAACGGTGGCATTTGTTTTACATTCATTATGCATCATTTATCCTTGCCAAATGTTTGACTTTCTTTTGTTTCAAGGATAATAAAACTAAGACTCTAAGAGGTTAAGTAATTTGCCTCATATTCCTTTATTTCACTGTTTGGTCAACATTTACTGAGTGCCAACCAAGTGCTAGACACCATGATAGGCCCTTGGACAGAGAGATTAAACAGAAATAACCCCTGTCCTATAGAAAAATAGGAGTAGTGAGGACAGAGACAATTATAGAAGAGGGCAGTAAATGTTAAAATCAATGTATGTAGAAAGTGTTATGAAAGCACAAAGGAGGGAGAGATGAATGGGTTCTGGATAAACTGTTTATACTTGAGTTTATAGTTTTATTCCAGGAAAGGAAACATTTGAGCAGGCTTTGAGAAATGAGTAAGAGTTCACTGGGTAGATAAATGGGAGAAGAGGGTGCACAGAAGCATATAACATGCAAAGGCATGCAGTTGAAAGCAGATGATGTGTTTGGAGAACAGTAACAATCCTTTTAGGCAGGTGTTTGGGGATGGAGAGAGAAAGATTAGGGAGACTTAAACGGGGAAGGACTTTGGTGGACTTTAAATGGAGCGGACAGTATGGAAGGGAGGACTTGGGGTCTTCCTTGGCCTTATTGCTGACTTGCTGGGAACTCCAGGCAGGTCCCTCTCTGTCTCCCAGTTTCTGTATTTTTCACATAATATCCTAGACATGTCTCCAGCTCTGACATGACTCCTTGGAAGACACTCCCCAGAGTTGGCCCTTTCTGTCCTGAGAAGTTATCTTCTCTTTCATTGTATTTTACACAAATCAGGGCCTGGGCTGAAAGCAGGAGGCACAATGGTGATTTCCCAACAGTCAAAGCCCATAAGCTGGAGAGGGAAACCCATGGCTCTGTGCAGAAATTTTTCCAGTATTCCAGAAGGGCCAGAGCTGACTGGTGTGAATTCAATGCTAGTGAGAGCTTCTTCCACAATTCTTGAGGTGTATGGCAGGCCCTGGCAGGGAACAAAGGGGACTCTCACTATCTTTCATGCATACTGCAGGGTATTTGATCTCCAAAGGGCTTTCATATTCATAGATTCCTCTTATTTTCAACCCAGCCCTGGGATCCTGCCCCCAGTTAGGATGTAAGAAATGTGAGGCTCTGGAAAGTGAAGTGGCTTTCTGAGCTGAAGCTACAACTAAAAATTTTTAATCTTTTACTGACTCCTCAAAGCTTTCATCCTTTTTATTTTTTTAAAAGATGTTATTTATTTTTAGAGAGGGGAAGGGAGCGAGAAAGAGAGGGAAAGAAACATCAATGTGTGGTGCTCATGTGCCCCCCTACTGGGGCCCTGGCCTACAACCCAAGCGTGTGTCCTAGAAGGGGATCGAACCAGCGACTTTTTGGTCAGCAGGCTGACACTCAGTCCACTGAGCCACACCAGCCAGGGCAGCTTTCTTCTTTTTTAAATGATATTTTATTGATTATGCTATTACAGTTGCCCCAATTTTCCCCTTTTGCCCCCCTTCACCCACTGCTCCCCATTCCTTCAGGCAATCCTCACATCATTATTCATGTCCATGGATCATGAATAGGTTCTTTGGCTACTCCATTTCCTGTACTATGTTTTACATCCCCAGGGATATTCTGTAACTATCTATTTGTATTTCTTAATCTCCTGACCTCTTCACCCATTCCCTCATACCTCCCTCCCATCTGGCAAACATCAAAATGCTCTCCATATCCATGATTCTGTCTTCTTCTTTGCTTAGTTTGTTTTTTAAGATTCAATTGCTGATAGATATCTATTTGTTGACATTTTAGAGTTCATAGTTTTGATCTTCTTCTTTTCTTAAAAAATCCCCTTAACATTTCATATAATAATGGCTTGGTGATGATTAACTCTTTTAGTTTTTTCTTGTCTGGGAAGCTCTTTATCTGCCCTTTGACTCTAAATGATATCTTTGCGGGGTAGAGCAATCTTGGCAGTATGTCCCTGCTTTTCATGACTTTCAACATGTCTTGCCAATCCCTTCTACCCTGCAAAGTTTCTTTTGAGAAATCAGCTGACTCTATTATGAGAATTCCCCTGTAAGTAACTA